TTTGATTGTAGAAGTCATGTGTCCTATCTCTTGTGAGATATAATTCAAAAAGAAGATATTACAAGACACCAACATCAATAAAAGCTTACGTCTTCACCTTCGCTTGCATACGTCTTGAAGTCAAATTAGTGCAAAAATATGTTATATAACAATTGTAAAATGGTTTTGCCAGAAATAGATTAAGTGCGAAAGACCAGCATGGCTGATTTGACTTTATTGTGACTATTCTTAACTATTGTTTTGTTCAAATCCAAGAGCCTGTCGCTATTTTAAAATTATGGCATTATTTACCTTTTTTAGCTGTTGGACTTTGATCTAAATACATCAATTTTTACTATTTTGGTGTTGTTCTGGTGACAGAGGATAATAAAAAAAGACAAAAAGTGTTTAAGATGATTCAAAGATGAATTTTCCTGTAGTTGTCACATGTTGTAGATGTTTTGTGCTTGTTCGTCCATTGGAAACAATGAGAACTACCCTGTAGGTATTTAGAGGCATGGGTCACCCATGATGAACCAACGATGAAAAAAAACATCGCTCCACCCACTCACAATCAGATATTTCACTGAAACTGGGCCTAACGACAGAATACACACTGTCCATACTTCTCTACATTGCTATCAACTTGTTATAGTAGGTCATAGGCCTATTCTCAACAGTTGTATCATACTAAAACAATTTTAAGCCGCTTTTGTGGGTACAGTCCATTGATAGTTCAGCATTGCAAGGATATCTTGCGTAGGCCATTTTTTATTTTATAGATGAAAGCCTCTGTCTATCAAAGGAGGCACTGTTGGTTAAAGAAGAATTGTAAAGATATTTAAGGCCAACTAAGCTCCATTTGTACGAATTTGAAGTTGTGTGTCTCATTTTGACCACGTGCATGTCTTATAACGCACGCACGTGCGTGTCTAATAACGCACGAGGACTGTACCGACAAAGCATCAATCAACAAAGACGACACACAAACGGTGTACGGCAAAGCACAGATATTAACAGGGCTACGTGCGATAATTTTCAGCCGACAAGCCCATTCCCCCACTTTCCTCAAGGTAATCTTGGGGCAATGGTACGTCGAGTATGTTGGAAAATTTAAGAACCACATACAGATTCTGTATTTTGTCTTGCTTCTACAATTTTTGATGTGTCATTGTGCTGTTTTCTTAAGACCCGTCCCATGACATAAAGATTCAGAACAAAAATCACTGCATTATACATGACAGTAGCTAAAGGGATAAAAGAATAACACGGAGAAACGCATTTTTGTTGAACTGGGTCTTATTTCAGTTCTATTTGTGAGAGTCAAATAAAACGTGTGCTATTCGCTCTGTTGCTTTGTTGTGCGACCTTTGTGTCAGGGGAATATTTTTGACTTTTATTCACCTGACGGTTTTTCCACTATTGAATGCTGTATCGAGAAACTGCGCAGTTATCGGACATAAGACGACTTCGAAACAACTTGAGGTGGGAGCAAGATATTTCACATTAACTCAAAGGTAAAACAAGCGTTAGGATTTCTTCACTGACGATACCTTAAATATCAAGCTGAATTCATGGGTTATTTGATATTCTGTATACGCGTTACTGGTTATTATATTAGCTGTTTATTATGGCGACGTTGTTATGACGATTGGCAATTTTTACACATTAGGTAAGACAAACAGGTGTGCGAATTGAAAAACTGTCGACTTATAATTTTTTTTCAAGCAGATTGTTTATACAGTTTGTTCAATATGTGTGTAGGGACCTCAAATTAAGAATTTGGGCGCCGTTGATCCCACATCCGGGGATTTACTGACGTCACTTGTACAGATAAGGTCAGTAGCGCAGGGCGTGGCTTAAAAATAACACCGCTAGGATTTTATCACAGAGATGAAATGCTGTCCACAAAACAAACTTTATCCCTGGGTATTCATAACACCCTGATAATCACTGATACAACCAGAATAGCAAGGTAAGTAAAATCTAGAAATCTGGATCAAGAATAAGAAAAGTATCTCTGTTTGATAGACTTTCAGTATATAATGTTGCAGGCTCCCCACCATCAATAAACATGTAGCCTTAGATTTTTGCAAAGACTTACATATGTGTTGCAGTGTAATAAGTGCATAATATGCATCACAACATATTTTAAATGTTCTGACCAAACCAAGCAGAAACAATTTAAGTGACCAAACTGGGTGAATTTAAGGTAAAGAATCCACGTCTGATGCTATGAAGACAAATTGGTGTCAATTTTGCCCTCAAATCCAGTCATCATTTTAAATTTAGGCATAATTCACGTTTGGCTGACGACAGTGTTTCTTTGGTGATTCGCTTAACATTCAATCAACATTTCGTTGTTAGTAGCGTCGATTATGCATTCCATTCAACAGCTCGTAAACTGTCATCTTTTCTTAAGATTATTTTCACAAATTTAAGACATTCACATCTACAATCTGCCGCCCTGAAGAAGCTCAAATGAAAATTGATCTTTTAAATACAAACTTGAAATAAGTGTAGCCAAACCAGGAAATTCTGATGATGAAAATAAAAGAAATTTTATGTAGCCAAATGTTAACAAGCACAACGAAGCTCTGTTTTTGCTCCAAAGTAAATAAGATAAGTCCATATGACTGATAATTGTCATTTATTAATGACGAAACTAATAAAATACGTAGTTACAAAACTGGGGAGATAATATAACATTTCCCCAACTGTATAAGTGCCATAATATAAAATTAATTAAGTATGTTAATAAGTGTAACCAAATTAATTAAGAAAATTATAAGTAATAACAACAGCTTTAGGAGCAAAAAGATGGCATAAATGAAAATAAAAGGGAGACCTCGGTTGGCGGGGATGTGAGCTTCTCTCACATCTTATGGCCTTTTATTTTCATTTATGCCTTTTAGCTGCGATGATATGTACCCGCAATTTCAGCAGCTTCACAGTATTGTGATATCTTGCGTTTCTTTTATGTAATTTTACATATCATCGCAGCTAAAAGGCTGAATGATTTCTCGCTGAAGCAGCTCGCAAGAAGTAGTTTCCTAAAACTCATCTAAAATTAACTGTGTGCCTAGATACACAGCAGCTAAGACAATTTTAACCCTGGACATCTGTTATCACCTTGCCTTGGTCAACTAACCCAGACTACTTCCTATAAACAAAGCGTAGATGAATTACTAACAAAGCTATTACCACCACTAAAAACAAACCATTTCCTACATAAATACAATTAATTATCTTAGTTGTAGTTTTGTGATAATTCACATATCATCCGATTTTTGTGGTGATATTTTCCACAGGAACGCAACTGTTTTTCACCGACGTACATTGAAACATGCTTTAGATGACAGAAATTCTACTCACAGAAATCAATTTCACTCTGAGAAAGTTATTATGTAATGAAGATGAAGATGCTTTATAAAGACATCGAGATCTCAATCTCAACACCGGTTGTAGATTGAAAAAAAAAAACCTTCTTCTTCTTGTTGCTATGTCGACCGAGAACTATCATGCCCCTTCTATCATATCATAGTCAGACAAAAGAGAAAAAATAAAACGCTACTTAAACTAAAACAGTATAATGTCGCTGCTGAGTTGTAGATGGCATTGTACAATTTATGTATGGGTACATATGTAGATAGAGTTGTTCAATGAGTGTGAAGCATTCCAAGATTATCTGGCGACACGGATTGTCTTTTTTAGGTAGACAGCGTCTGTGTTGGTTTAAGGTGGCATAAAGAATTGTAAAGACATGTTATGCTTATTAAGCTCCATTTGTACATATTTGAAGTTGTGTGTCTTGTGATGACAACGTGCGCATCTAATAACGTACGAGGACTGTATCTACAACGTATCCATCAGGTAGGGCGACACATGGACGGTGTGCGGCAACTGCACTGATATTGAAAGAGCTCAGTACCATAATTTGTCAACCGTCAAGCCCATTCCCTCACATGACTTGAAGGTAATAATGGGGAATGGTTCGTCGAGTATGTTGAAATGTGAAGTATGATATGCGGAATCCGTATCTTGTCTCGTTTTTATTACTTCTGAGGTGTCTTTGTACTGTATTCTAAGGTCCGTGTATTAAATATTCAGAACAAACATCACTGCATTATACACGACAGTAGCTGAGGAACATAAGATTAACACAGAAAATGCATTTTTGTTGGAATGGATCTTATTTCAGTTTGTTTTGCGAGAGTTAAATAAAATGTCTGCTATTCGATCTATCTCTTTGTCGCGAGGCTTTTGTGTCAGTGGGATATTTTAGACCTTTATACCACAAAACTTCATAAATCTTATTTTATTTTGAGTATATGAGTCAGATTTTCATTAGGTGCACATTTTTAATTTTCTTATTTTTTCATGAAAATTTTCACCTGCAAACTACAAAAAAGTGCCAATGTATCCTCCATTTTACATTCTACAAGATCACAGTCATATACTCAAAATATGAAGTTTTGTGGAGGGGGAGTCAAAATTTCATAGGGGGAGTCACATTTTCATAATGAAAATCTGACTGGGGAGTCACATTTTCATAATGAAAATCTGACTGGGGAGTCACATTTTAGGGGAGTCAGGTTTTCATGGTACACCGGTATGCTGTGCTATTTCTTTTGATGATCTTTAATTGGCGAAGTCAAGATAATAGGAACCGTTTGAAAAAAAAAATGCATCTTTAAGACAAAATATATGTATATAAATGTGCTTAAGAGGGAAAAGGGGTAATACTTTTCCTTTTACTCAAATGAAACTGAGTGAAATTCACACACAATAAAAGAAATTACTGACTAACGTGTAATTTTATGGGGAATAAGACAGATGTTAATTTTTTTAAAGCAGATGGGAAGTTTTCATCATCTAGATTCTTGAAAGGGTCAGGATAGGACTGCCATCCTGCTTTCCTCTATTCCATAACCAAATTATATAATATCAGAACATAAAATACATACCTTTCAGTAATGAGAAGCACACAGGACTACCAGTAGTGTAGAAAAAAGGACACCATGTCTGAAGAAGTTATAGGAGGCGTGGAGGTGTTAGAGTCTCTACTAGATTTGGAGAGAAGACCAGCAGATGACAAGACACCAATACCAGACATGGTCACCAAGTGTACAGTGCTGGAGCTAAAATGTAAGAACATAAAGCACATCCCTAACACCATAGATAGATGTATCAATGTGAAGAAGATCAATCTCACAGGGAACATGCTTTCATCAATTCCCGGGTCATTGTACAAGTTAAAAAATCTCACACATCTTTATCTCGGAGGGAATCAGTTGACAGAGCTCCAAGCTTCAATGTGTGCTCTATCACATATAGAGGATCTGAACCTACATAATGACGAGCAATCCAGTCTCCCTCCTGATATTGGTAAGCTGAGTGCACTGAAGAGTTTGAACCTCGGGTGGAATCAGCTCACAGAGATCCCAGCCTCAGTGTGTGCTCTACCACATATAGAGAATCTGGACCTACAACATAACAAGCTATCCACTCTCCCTCCTGATATTGGTAAGCTGACCACACTGAAGAATTTGGACCTCGGGGATAATTGGCTCACAAAGCTACCAGACTCAGTGTGCGCTCTACCACGTATAGGGAACCTGGTCCTACGGAGTAACAAACTATTCAGTCTCCCTGCTGATATTGGTAAGCTGACCACACTGAAGAATTTGGACCTCGGGGATAATCGGCTCACAGAACTACCAGCCTCAGTGTGCGCTCTACCACATATAGAAAACCTGGTCCTATGGGGTAACAATGTATCCCGTCTCCCTGCTGATATTGGTAAGCTGACCACACTGAAGAGTTTGGACCTCAGTAATAATCAACTCACAGTGCTCCCAGCCTCAGTGTGCGCTCTACCACATATAGAGAACCTGGACCTACAGTTTAACAAGTTATCCAGTCTCCCTGCTGATATTGGTAAGCTGACCACACTGAAGAGTTTGGACCTCAGTTCTAATCAACTCACAAAGCTCCCAGCCTCAGTGCGTGCTCTACCACATATAGAGAATCTGGACCTAAATTTTAACAAGCTATCCAGCCTCCCTGCTGATATTGGTAAGCTGACCACACTGACGTGTTTGGACCTCAGTTATAATCAGTTCACAGATCTCCCAGCCTCAGTCTGTGCCCTACCACATATAGAGAAACTGAACCTGAAGGGTAACAAGCTACCCAGTCTTCCTATTAGTGTCAGTAAAATGGTCACACTGAAGTATTTGGACATTTCCAGCAATAATATAACGCATTTACCCCACCAGCTTGCTTCTCTCACACTTTATGTTCTGAATGTGGATGATAACCTCATCCAGCAACCACCCATGTCAGTATGTGAGGCAGGACAAGAGGCAATATTCAGATACTTAATTGAACTCAGGGAATCAGAAGCAGTGGAGTCTTGCAGATTGCAATTAAACCTCTTGGGAGAGACAGGAAGTGGGAAAACCAGTTTAGCACGCTCTCTCAGACGTGGAATACCCGTGCTGACTGATGTAGCAGATAGAACTAGAGTTGTGGAGCAATCACTGTGGGAAATTGAAGGGAACATCAGTTTTAACATCAATGACTTTGGAGGTCACGAAGTGTACAGAGTTGGACACCGTATATTCATCTCACAGAACAGTATAGTTCTTGTCACCTTTGACCTGTCGACCTATGACCCCCGCAGTAGTTCCTATTTCAGACAACATATTGGAGTCTGGATAGATATGGTGCAGTCCCATAATCCAGGAGTGACAATTGCATTGGTTGGTACACATCTCGATAAAACTGATGAAGTAACCAGTAAGGCTGTATGTGCGTCTGTCCAAGAAGTAATTGAAAGTGAAAGAATAAAGAGACAAGATTGGTTCACCGAGCAAGCAAGAGAGCTACAAGTAAGAATCCACGCCCTACAAAAAGACAAAAATGAAGTCCTTACTTTAGCATACAAAAGGAAGATAGAAGCACTGAACAAAAGAAGAGGGCAGAACCAATCGAGAATTTATCCCCACATTTTCATGGTGAGCTCGAAGACCCAGGCAGGTTTTGGAGACCTTAAAGATTACCTATCTGCCCAAGCAAAGGAAAGAAGTGTTACCCTACCAAAAACCTGGCATGAGGCAGCAAAGACCATCTATGCAAAAAAAGAAAGCAAAACTGAAAACACACTTTGCTGGGACAATGTGAAGCAAGACGTGGTATACGCAAATAATACTGCAAAATACATATGGAGCAAGATACGTGGAAGAACTGATAATAATGTGAATGCAATTCTTTCCTTCCTTTCCAGTAGAGGTGACGTCATCTGGTATCCAAACAATCCAATACTTAGTAACATCATCTTCCACAGGCAGGAAGTTCTAGCTGATCTCTTGAAGGCAATCCTCAGCCACGATAAGGATGAGTTTTTAAATCAAGTCATAGTCAGTGAGCCCATGGCAGAGAAAATTAAAGAAGATTTCATCATGAGAGGAGTTCTCTCTGTGCAGGTGATGGAGGATCTATGGAAACCATTTGGTTTGACAGCCAGGGAAAGCAGTGCAATGGTGGAGCTCATGCAGAGGCTGGAGCTATGCTTTAAGGTGAATGAGGGCGAAGATGGCGCCACATTTCACTTTCCATGGCTACTAGAACTAAGCCGCCCACCAATCATAGACACCAAGTGGCCTCAGTCCGTACCACAGGACACTACACAGCTTACACTGAATGTGTATTTTCCATACCGCTGTCCTGATGGTCTTTATGAGAAATTGTCTGTGCGCCTTCATTCAACCCTTGGACTCTATCAGCCTATGAGGAGAGACTGGAAAGATGGGGTATTTGTGGACAAGGCGTCACACTGCATGCAAATGTCCAGAAGCCAGACAGACAGAAACTGGGTGATCACCATTGCTGTTCGTGGTCAATATCTCCCAGACCTGTGGAAAATACTGCTCCAAAACCATGACAACCTTATGGACATCCTGGAGGAAGATTGGCCTGGCTTACCATGTGACAAGTACCTGGTGTGTCCTCACTGTACAAGTCTAGATGTAGAGACCCCAACCCTGTTCCCTGGTGAAGTGATTGACCAGCCCCCAGCTGAGACTGTTGACAGGGTACCATGTTGGAAAACAAAGGAAATGATACCAGCTGACTTAATATATCCCAATATGCCAGGTAATATTATTAGGAATACCTAATATTATCCCAGTTCAACTAAATTGCTGATTATGCTAACAGCATGTCTTTACTAGTACAATTCACCTACCCGATGAAAATACAGAAACCAATGTTTGAAATGGAAATTACCTTTTGGGATTTTAGGATATTTGTATATCGTAAAAAAAACTGCATGGCTTAAACGTGCATTTTTCTTTCATTTATTTACCCTTCATCAGCTGTTTTGATATACAAGCAATGTACACGTTGTGTTGTTCATGTATTCTTCTTTGTTGTTTATTGGCAGGTTTAACAGCCATGAAACCTCACCAAAAGCGTGCCCTGAAACAGCACATGGAGCTGCTGGTCAGTAACATTACTACTCCATGCCTGAGTTACCTGCTGGACAAGCTGATGCAGGAAGATATCATCACTGACAGAGAGAAACAGTATGTACGTTCTAAGCCGTCTACTGGGGACACAGATAAGGCTGAGGGGGCAGCAGCAGCCAGTGTGGTGTCCCCTGAGCAGACAAGAACACTGCTCAATATTCTGCTAACCAAAGAAGAGAGGGCATTCCAGTGTCTGTGTAGATGTCTGGAGAAGATTGCACAGGGTTTTCTGGCTAAAAAGTTGAAAAGGTAATGTATTGTTAACTGGTTGATCAATGAAGAATGTTTAGGTTTTTGTATAGAACCCAGTAAGGGCGCATTCCCATAGATTTTATATTGATCTATCCCCGTGGGGAGTCTCACTAGATTACTGTCAGATAATCCGGCTTAAATGTACGTCCCGCTTACAGCAAGCTGTAAGGGGGTAATTAACTTTCGTGCCCACTCGACTGACAGCTATTTAGCGTGAACCCCCAGGGAGCTAGGTTGGTCTAGTTGGATCGATCCAAGCTCTGGGAATGGGGTCTAAATAACAATGGGTTTCACATTGTTGTACATTTTTTTTTTACTTCTAACAAGCACATAACTTATAACGTTGTTTATATAATCTGGTTTAAAACTTGAATGCAGACAAATGCAACCACAAAACTAGAAAAAACATTCAGGGAGCGTACACCTCTGCCAAGGCAGCAAAATCTTCATCCAATGCCGTTTCACCCCTAAATTTTCATTCTATAATGATTTAGTTTTTTGATTATTGATTATTGATCCGGATCACCACCAAAAACTAATCATCTGTTCCGTGGCCCACTTCTGACAGTTCCTAAAAATTTCATCAAAATCACTTCAAAACTTATTTTTTTATTATTTATTATTGATTAATTATTGATCAAGATCACCACCAAAAACTTATCACTTCTAAGTTAACCCATATCTGACCTACCCTGAAAATTCCATCAAAATACATCTAAATACTTTTGAGTTATGTTGATGACAAACAGACAGACAAACATGAGTGAAAACATAACTTCCTTGGCGGAGGTAATAAAATGACTTCATCTTGTCAGTATTAAATGTTAAATGACAGTGTTGTTTTCGTTTTTCAGTTCCTGAATCCCAAACTACAATGATGACATTGAAAACACTGCCTCTTATTAGTTCATTACTGTCTGGTGACTGTGACCCACTACTACAGCAGATATCCAATTCCATGGATGATGACATTGATAACACTATGTCTTATTGGATCATTACTGTCTGGTGACTGTGACCCACTACTACAGCAGATATCCAATTCCATGGATGATGACATTGATAACACTATGTCTTATTGGATCATTACTGTCTGGTGACTGTGACCCACTACTACAGCAAATATCCAATTCCATGGATGATGGCATTGATAACACTATGTCTTATTGGATCATTACTGTCTGGTGACTGTGACCCACTACTACAGCAAATATCCAATTCCATGGATGATGACATTGATAACACTATGTCTTATTGGATCATTACTGTCTGGTGACTGTGACCCAATACTACACCAGATATCCAATTCCATGGATGATGGTGAACACTTATTTGATCGGTATCTGATATAGTATTACAGTGACGTACATTGTATATATTGTATAATGTGTTTACAATCAGTGTTGTTATGGATTATCTTGTTTTCTAAATATAATCTCAGTACAACATCTAGTTCTGGAGGCAGAGACACACTTGAGAGGTACACGTATTGTTTTACTTCAGCAATACAAGGAGGACGATGAAAAATTATCGCGTTCTTCCCCTGCAGTGTTTAGGCAAATGGGAGCTTCTGTTATATATTTTTCGTTGTATATTTCCTGCATTTTAACTTTTATCACTTTCAAACCTGGCGATGTTATGATGGATACTGGATATCTCCAGTCATTGATTTTGTAAATATAAATAGACATGGTGTCAAAGTATTTCAATGCTGTGTAAACAATGATCCTTATTTCTTCTCTAGTAAATACAGGTATAATTTATTAAGACCGATGATTTATTAAGTTCCTCTGTATATAATCCCATCATTATACTATGTTTGTGTATAGTCTGTCAGTACCTCTGTAGCCACTTGCAATACTCACACACAACAACAGCTTTGCGTCGTTTTTACTGATTTATTAAACCTTAAACCTTAAACCGTCAACTGAAAAGAATAATTGAAATAAAATATGAAAATCATCTCATATTCTTGCCCTAGTTCTTTTATATAATGCTATTAAGTCACTTAAATAACATCTTTACTTAACAGTTGCATGTTATCCTATCTTTATCTCCAAAATATAAGTAACTCTTACCGACTTTGGGCTATTCTAGTGTAATGCAAGCGACTGGGTTCTAAATGATTGTGTAGTAAATCTCATCTGGCGCAACTAACACAATGAAAAAATACGCTTTTAAAAATAACATTGATTACGAACATAAAACAAACAATCTTTAACTCGCAACTAGTACAGCTACATTCTCGTTTCTAAACAATACACTACACTTTACTGAACTTTCTTTACTCCAATACTGAAAGGCACAGTGATTGTGTTACATGTACTGTGCATTGTACATCAGACCGGCATTTCTAACGCTACTCAAAGTTGCAGTTTACAATGGAAAACTAATTTTATCTTCTCGCAATTATCTTTAAATGAACTTTCATAACTTAAAATTAATTGCTAACCTTATGGGCCAGATTCCTGTTACAAAAACACTTGTAATTACGGCTGTCTCAGCATTTAA